ATTTTATTTTTAATTTACAGAATAAAACAAACATTTCCATAACAGTATAATAAAAATATGATTCATCAACCACATGATAATCAATTTAACAAACATTTACTGATTGACTTCTTTGAACAGGGAACCATAATATGACCAATGTCACTGGTTGATTAATATAAAATATGTTATTGATAATGATAATTAACAGTTATTGAGGATTTCCTATGTGTCAGGCACTCAGCTGGGTGCTGGGGATGCAAAAGTGAGACAGCCTCTGCCCTCACATTTTACTAAGAAAAGATAGAGGAAGTACCAACATAGTGAATATAGTACAAGGCTTGGGGTCAAAAAGACCTGAGTTCAAATCCTACCCTAGCAACGTCTACTAAGGCAAGACTTCTTAACTTTGGGTTCATGAACTAATATTTTTTATAACTGTATTTGAATATAATTGGTTCCCTTTGCAACGGTTCACTTCTTCATTCTTCTCCAGACTCCACATCTGACCTCTATCACCATAGTGCCACTGCGTCTTCTTTCCCTTCACTCCATCCCTGTAGCTCTCTCACACCCTGGAAGACCGCACTCCCCCCGGCTGTTCCTCCCTCTAATTGGTCGGGTCCTCACAAAATCTACATTTTAAGGAAAGAGCCCAGATCGGCCACATTCATTCCCTTCCTCTACTATGTCCCCAGCATGGGCGGGTACCTGCCCCTCATCTCCCCCCCACCCCCCAGCTATCCAGCTTCCTTTCATGTGTACTCTTCGCTCACTGAAATGTTAGCTCTTGGTGAGCAAATGCCCTTTGACTATGTTCCTAATGCTTATTACAGTGTCTAGCACACAGCAAGCATTTAACAAATGCTTATGGACTGATGAATCCTTTTTATTTTATGCAATTAAAAACATTATTCTGAGAAGGGGTTCAAAGTTTCACCAGACTGCCAAAGGAGTCCATGATGCGGGGAAAAAAAGCTTAAGAATCGGTTACAATCTGCTGGTGGTGAAAGGAATCCCCATGTTAGGAGCTCCCCACCCTGTTGAAATCACAGATCCTCCCTGTGTTCTCATAATTATAAAAGAAGCTTGCTGAATTTTGAAAAATAAAGATGGGCAGATGGATGAATCCCTTGTTGGAGTCGGTCTTGAGTTGTTTCAGTCATGTCCAACTCTTCATGAGCCCATTTGGGGTTTTCTTTACAGAGATGCTGGAGTGGCTTGCCATTTTCTTTTCTATCTCATTTTACAGATGAGGAAACTGAGGCAAACAGGGTGAAGTGACTTCCCCAGGATCACACAGCTAGTAAGTGTCTGAGGTCAGATTTGAAATCAGGAAGATGAGTCTTCCTGATCCCAGACCCAATACTCTATCCAGTGTACCATCTAGCTGCCCTGGATGAATCCCAATCCCCCTTAATTCTAGTGTCATCCCTCTTTTAATTGTTTTCTATTTATCCTGTATATAGCTTGTTTTATTTTTTGTTTGTTTTTTTTAAATTTATTTATTTTTAGTTTTCAATATTCACTTCCACAAGTTTTTGAGTTCCAAATTTCTCCCCCTTCCTCCCACCCCAAGATGGCATGCATTCTAAATACCCCTTCCCATGGTCTGCCTTCTCTTCTATCTCTCCCCCCTCCCTTCTCTTATCCCCTTCCCCTTCTATTTTCCTGTAGAGCAGAATAGACTTCTGTACCCCATTTCCTGTATTTCTTATTTCCCAGTTGCATGTGAAAACATTTTTTTTAAAACATGTGTTTTTAAAACTTTGAGTTCCAAATTTTCTCCCTTCCTCCCTCCCCACTATAACTTGTTTTAAATATATATGTATACACACACACACACACACACACACACACATGTTTGCTTGTTTTCTCCCCCATCAGACTGTGAGCTCCTTGAGGGCAAGGACTGCCCTTTGCCTCCTTTTTTATCCTCAGTGCTTACTGGCACACAGAAGTCGATTAATAAATGTTTATTAACTGACTGATTTGTTTTCTCCTTCACTAGGCTGTAAGCTCCTTGAGGGCACAGACCATCTTTTGCCTCTTTTTTGCATCCCCGGCGCTCAGCACAGTGCCTGAACATAGTAGGTGTTTGATAAATGTTTATTGATTGACTCCAAACACTTCACTAAGTTTACTCTTTATCTCGTCCTCTGTTATGATTATGGTATAACAGTGTTGAGCCAGCTGGGCAGTGGAGTTCTCCGGACCTGGGGTTGTTACTCATTCCATGTTTACTGACTGAATAAACCTCCTTAATCTCTCTAATCTCCAACAAGATAGAGTACAGATTGGTTGTGGCCAGTCTGGACAAGTATTTCTCCTAACTTGTTCTTGACTTCATTTGTCCCTTGTTCACCAACACCCAACAGCCAACATCTAACCACAAGGTCTGTCCGGAATACTCTGACCAGTGAAGTCTTTTGGTCAAATGAGCTCATCTGTTCCAATTTGCACATGCGTTCAGATTCACCCAGAAATACATTTTGCAAAGCCTGACCACAATCAGCAAATACAAGCTGCAATTAAGACACTGTTTAACCACCTCGCCCCCATCACCCAAACCAAATGGGGAGGTCATTCTTCCAGGTGGGTGACCATTGGAAAGTGACGCCTTCTCTTTTTTGGCCACCGACCCTCATTAACTGCAGTAAATATCAAACTAACCCTTCTACAATCCATTCGTGCCCATGCTGAAGTCCCAAACATAACAACTCTACCTCTCCAATATTTCCCGTTTCATTTTACCACAGAAAAGCAGCATGCCAAGTAGCAAATTCACATAAAACCTGGTAGCTCAGCCAAGAGGGGAAGGAAACATCAAATACAGGGCCCAGAGTACTGACTAATAGGGGAGAAATAAGCAGGACTCACAGGACACTTGTGCTTACAGCTGAGCTGACTTCGCCCAGTGAAAGGAAAACTGCTACTTATTTGGGTCATTTTGTCAATAGGAGACATTATTATGTGCTATCAGAATGTGAATCCAGGAGAAGAGATGATGAAAACCTCCTTCCTCTTGGTAGAGAGGTAGAAGCTATTGGTGCAGAGGGCTATGCAGGTTCTAAGATGTCCAATGATGTCTTAACTGTTTTTACTAACAGAGAAGATTAAATAGGGGAGGAGGGAATATATATTGGGAAATGACTGTGATGTACAAACAAAAGGAATCAATGACAAAAAAGAATTGAAATCAAAAACACATAAATTAAAACTCCAGAGACAGCCTAATGATAAAGATGATAAAGAAACAAATAATGGCATTCTCCAGACAGACTACACTGACCTTAAGTATATATCTGAAGAAAGAGAAGTGTGTCACCTTTGTGAAAGGTAGCAGTTCTTCAATCCCCTAAAGCTGACCATTGGATATGGGGATGGAGAAACCAAGCCAGAGTAGACGCTGACCTGAATTCTTCTTCAAAAGAACTCCGGTTTTGAACTATATTCACAGTATAGTACATTCAGTCTCCTCCTGCTGCTACCCAGAGCTGAGGTGGGACTCTGAGACCCGGGAAAGATCTTAGCTCAAAAAGGCCAAGGTCTCCCACTGTACCTGGGGCCATGGCCAGTCCTCTTGACCTATGTCTTGCTGCCACTGGACTCCAATGACTCTGGAGGACAGAGTGAGGCTGATGACTTGTACAGCTCTGCCTCACTTAAATCCAATTCACTGGCAACGCAGGACATCACCCTCCTGAGGTCACTGGTCCTCTTGGAGAAGGAAGGACAAACAACAAGATGGGTTAAGGACTTTGCCAAAGGGTCCTCAAGGTATTTGTACACCTTCAGCAAGTAGAAACAACCAAGCTTAACCCTTCACAGATAAGAATAATTAGCAAAGAAAGAACTATGGAGTTTGAATGAAAATCGAAGCATGCTATTTGCTATTTGTCTTCTTCTGTTTTGTTTTCGCTTTCTTGTGGTTCCTCCTATTGGTTCTAATTCTTACTTACAACATGACTAATGCGACAATATGTTTAATAGGAATGTGTATGTATAGCCTATATCAGATTGCGAGCCATCTTGGGGAGGGGGAGAAAAATTTAAAACTCAAAAGCTTATGGAGCAGTTAGGTGGCACAGTGGATAGAGCACTGGCCCTGAAGTCAGAAGACCTGAGTTCAAATCTGGCCTCAGACCAAACATTTAAGCTAGCTGTATAGCCCTAAGCAAGTCACTTTACCCCACCTGCCACCAAGAAAAAAGCTTATGGAAGGGATTGTTGATGATTGAAAATAAATTAATTTTAAAAAACAAAAGAATAATTAGTAAAAATAGGAAGCTAAAAGATGGCACAGGACCTCACCAAACAAAGGTCCTGGGGTCTCTGTTTCCTCCACCATGGACCTTATTTCTCAAGGCCCAAATTCTCCTGCATTATAGGCAGTAGTAAGTATGGGGTCAAGACCCTTCTCTGGAAACCCCACATCTTCCAGCGTGAGTGAAGGGTGGGGTGAGTAAATTAGCCAAAGATCAAGAATGAGGGTCCACACCACACTCTGAACTATACATCATACTATTTCTAGATCACAGTAAATTAACAAGAATGTTTTCCTCCCAATGGCCCTTATAGTAGGGCCCCAAATTGGGCCTGAGAGCATTAGCTGGGCTTGGTATGAAACACTACTTCTCTGTAATTCCTCGGCCAGCCATCACATCAATGAGGTCCAAGGGTATATACAAAAAAAAAGGTTTCCAAGAACGTTCCATTGTATTTACTCTTCCCAGTGTGTCTGGCTCTATGGGGATGGATGGGAATCCGCCCTGGCGTGACTACATGAGCTAAGGGAGGATGTACTCGGGCAATTAGGATGTGCCAAAGTTACAAAGAGGACAAGACACTTCCCTCCCTACATCTGTTTGATTTTCCTTTGTTTGGGTTTGTCCCTGGCAATCTGGCAAGTGGTCATTTCCAGGGGGAGCTCTGTCCATGGTGATGACACTCTTGGGCTTTATGTCTCCCTTCATTATCATAAACAGAACCCAGTTGCCACAGCAATGGGTCCAGGAAGCAGCTGCTCATATGATGTCAAGGGGCAGCCTTCGATCTCCAGATTCTGCTGCCTGGAGTGCCCTTTCCCAGTGATGGCAAAGTCGAGGAAGACATGGAGTCGTGACTACTTGGGTGTCTGCTCCTTCACACAATGATCAAATTCCACGACTGACCATGAGCGAAAGAGATGCCAGCTTGGTGGAGACCTCTGAGAAGAGAGGCGCTAGCTCAGTTCCTTAATACTTTGCAGACAGACGTATGAGTGACAGGGTAGGGATGAGAAGTCTATAGAAAGCTCATTGGGAGAAATGGGATGCTACAGTATAAAGGCATTGGTTTTAGAATTTGAGAATCTGGGTTCAAATGTCACTTCCACAAATAACGCCTATGTGACCAAGGGAAAATTATTTCGGTTCTCTGGGTATAGGTTTCCATATCTATAAAAGGAGGGGCTTGGACTAACTGATTTCAGAAGTCCTTGCCAGCTCTAAAACTATAATCCTCTGAACTTCTCTCTTAGGGCCTCCATAGACAAATGAACTGTTCCCCAACACAATTCGAGGTTGCAAGGACACACTCCTGTTGTCGTTGTTCAGTTGTGTCTGACTTCTATTAATTACGCAAAAGTTACAAAAGTTTTGCTTCCTCCAGGAAAATTGCTTCATCTCTTTAATACTCAGTTTTCACTCCCTATGGCCCTTCCTCCCTCCCTCCAATTAGGCTGCAGCTGCAACCTGAACCCAAAATAAAGTGCCCAGATGTATACCTGTTTCTGCGCTGTTTCAAAATCTCTATTTTCTGTCCCCTTCTACCCTCAACCTACTTAGCAGTGATTTTGTCAAGGCTCAAAAATTACTTAGCTCATAACTCATAGGGAAAGAGATAAGGAAATGCCCTGAGGAGTTAGGGACTCAGAGGTTGAATCAAATTCTAAATGTTCTAAGAGGCTCCTCTGAGGTTCTGGGAGGCAGGACTCTGGTTCAGGCAGGAACTCGAGGTCTGATTTGGTGAGGAACCCATCTTGGCATCCACCATGAGCAGGGCTATCATGAAACAGGTTTGGGCTTCACCACCTTTGCCATCCTGGGACTTTTGCTCTCCAAGCCATTGGTCAGTGTGAGCACCCAGAAGGAAAGGCTTCTTCTCTTCAGCTTCTGACACAGGTTGACCTGGTGTTCATAGGGGGTGTCATCATAGGTTCATGTGTATCTGTGCTCGAGACCAGACTTCCCCAGGACAGAGCCGTGCCAGACTTGGCCACCAGCCCACTGCTGAGCTCTCTAGAGGAAAATCTGGTGTCAAGAGAGAAAGCCAAAGCCAAGAAGGGGTCATCCCACAGCAGCACTCAGGTCTGGAGGCAGCAGGGCTGGATCCGAAAGCCCTTTTTCATAAATTGAACATGTGGGGGGCAGCTAGGTGGTGCAGTAGATAGAACGCCGGAGGTCCTAAGTTCAAATCTGGTCTCAGACCAGACAATCGACACTTACTAGTTGTGTGCCCCTGGGCAAGTCACTTAATGCCAACTGCCTTGCCAAAAGAAAAAAAAAAGAGAACAAAAAAGATGGAACATGTGTCTTCCAAACATTATCTACAGGCTGACCCAACATCAGTGCTGGTTTCCTATTTTCCACAGGAGTGTTCCGGCATCTTGGGGATCGCCTTTGCCTAGCTGTAGCAAAAGCTCTCATCTCTGAAAACGGCTTGCTAGTATTTGGAATCAACAGGTTTTTTGCCACTTTTGACATAGCTCCTCTGCGGCAGCAAGAATAGCGCTCTGTTCTTCTGCGGGCACAAGGGTTCCAGCATCCAGGCCCTCACCAATGGTCCTTACCCTGTTTATGGATCTGGCTTCAATCCAAGACAAACCTGACTTATGTGATGGTCTCCCATTATCAGCAGCGAAAGGTGCTTCTGATGTAGGTGGGCTGCGTTGTTTTTTCTGTTTGCCGTGGTTTTGCCTTTCTTTGTAACCCCAGTGCTTTACACAGTGCCTGGCACCTAGCAAGTGTTCAATAAATTCTTGTCTTTGCTTCAGGGACATACGCAATATAGAAGTTTTCCATATTGTGAGGATTCCAGTGTTAATTCTGGAATGCCAAGGAAAATGGAAGCTGGAAAGAAAAGGAAGGTTCACAGTTCCCAGGAATAAATGCTCCATCTTTATCTTCTGTGAACCTTCTAGACTTCGCCAGGTGGAGAGAAAGGTAGGTAGGTTTTATTGCAATACCAACAAAGGTAAACTTAAACACTTTTAGAAAGACAAAGGTACCTTCCAAAGGAACTGGACTGTAAAGTTTACCTTTGTGATCTCTTAAAACAAACAGCCCAAGGATGCAGAATTGAAAAGCCTCAGGTGACCGTCTGTTTGCACAAAGTAAAGTGTTTCCTCTGTATGCTGAACATTCAAATCTTTCACAATCAATCACCTCTCCAATTCCATCATCTCTCCTATTAAAATTTATCAAGCAGTTAAAAAAAAAAAGACAAATAAAGACAAGAAAGGAAAAATCCCTGTACAGTCTAGGTAATGGGATACTTGGAAATCATCAGGAATTATATTAAGCAAGACCTCTAACTTCGAACATATGTACACACACCCAAAGCCTTATGTCCATACAAGCAAAACAAAAGGGAAGATGTAAGCATTTATTTACCTAAGGAATCTAATCAGTCAGTCAACAGTCTTGTATTAAAAGCCTATTAAGTTCCTACAGGCCAAGTACTGTGCTAGGCACTAAGACAGACAGGCCCTCCTGCCTTCAGGAAGCTTACATTCTACTTAGAAGAGACTTATCGACACCAACCATCACACTGCATTACTTGCCTTCCTCCCTGGCCCCCAAAATGCTATCCCTTCAATAACAGGCTTCCTCCAAGACCCAACTCTTGTCAATCATATCCATTTTTCCACACAGATGGAATGAAGTATGAGCTGATTCACTGCATACGGATGACATTAAAAAAAAAAAAAGATGATTTTGTAAGTTGCTTCAATTGGCCGTAGTGGAGTCCCTATGACCTTAAGGTCATCCAAGGCAGTGGTGGCGTTGGGAAAGAGCCTCCCTCCCGGGGGGTTCAAGTTTGTCTCCGACTCTTCCTAGATGTGGCACTCCAGGGAAATCCCTTAACCCCTCTGAGGTTCAGTTTCTTTATTTGTAACATGGGGCTAATCACATCTGTACTCTCTACCTCATCAGAGGAGAGCACTTTGTAAACCTTAAAACACTAACTATTGCTGCCTGTGTGTTTACGTATTCTTATTTACTCCCAGAATCATACCCCAGCCTAAATTTATTTTCCCTGGAGCAACTTGAGCTGATGATTCATGGTGCATAAGTATATTTACCCCGCACCAGGTAACCTTCCACCATAATAAAAATAATAATAATAATAATAAATAATAATAATAATAATAATAATAATAGCAGCAGCTAACATTTATTTAGTTCTCAGTCTACACGCCAGGCACTGTGCTAAGTACTTTACAATCATCTCATTTGATCCCCAGGACAGCTCATGGGAGGTGGATGCTATTATTATCTCTACAGAAGAAAAAACTGAGGCAAATTGGTGTTAAGTGACTTGCCCTGAATCACGCAGCCAGAGGTTGGACTTGAACTCGGGTCTTCCTGACTCCAGGTTCTCCTCTTCCCCCCCCCTTCACTGAGCCACCTAATTGCCCCCTAACCTTAACTGGCTCATTAGATGAGGTGACATAATATCATCACAGCAAACAGACTAATACTTCAAAGTATTTTACAAGAGCTAAGGGGGCATGCTTGGCCTACTTATTAATTCATAATAATAAATAAGATAGGTTGATTGATTGATTGATTGATTGATTGGGTAAGGGCCAGACCTATGATATCACCACACTTTAATCTTGTCCAGGAACATCAGAACAGTGTATTTGACACCTTTGGTCTAGAGTACGGGGAGGTCACGAGGCCAGAGATTGTCAGACTTGGACCTAGATCCTGACAGCTCCAAAGTCATTGATACCACACAGCCTCTCACGCAATAACAAATAATAGCTGTGAAAAAGCTGCTGATAAGCTGGAGTGAAGGTTCACCCATGTGGTCACTGGCTGAAGGAGCTGGAGAGATTTAGCAGAAAGGAAAACATGCCATGACGGGGACAAGATAACTGTCATCACCACGCATCGGAAGGGCCACCGAGGCAGCCAAAGCTAAACCAGGGTCTCCCTACTGCCCCAGCATCAACTATATAATCCTTGGTTCTTTCAAGTCCTTCCTGTGTCTTTTCACTGGCTGGCCCCCAAGCTTGAAATACACTCCCTCCTCACGGCTCCCTGAACTTAAGGCTCAGCTCAGGTCTCCCTTCCTCATGTTAATGTGCCTTCTCTCTGAGATGACGTCCCATTTACATGGCCTCGATCCTGTCAGTATGTAATTGCTTGTATGTCTCCCCCTTTAGAATGTGAGACGGGCACCACGTTTTTGCCTTTCACTGTATCCCTGGCACTTAGTGCCTGGCACCTAGTGAGCAATTAATAAATGCTTGTTGGCTGACTGGTTTTTTGGAAGAGGGAATAGATCTGTCCAATTTGGCCCCCGGGGACTGAACTGAGAGCAATGGATAGAAACTCAAAAACAGCCCATTCAGACTAGATGGTGGGCAAGACTGCCTCAAAATGAGTGCCCCTGTCCCAAGGTGGAATCATCTGCCTCAAGAGGTGATAGGGACGATCCCTTGTTAAGGTACGTCTTAGAGGAAATGACTTCGGAACTAAAGTTTGGGACCACATGGTTGCTGAGGTCCCTTCAAACCTTGAAATTCTGTGACTGTGATGTTACTGAGAATTTGTCCTCTGGATTTTCAAGGTGTCTGACTTACTTTAGTATATTCCAGTCTCCTAATGATCCCATCAACAGGACAGATTTGATTCCTATCTTACAAGAAAGGACAGGGAGGCCCAAAGAGAACAAATAACTATCCCCGGGGGCCATACAGCTGGCAGAGGAACAGATGCATGGACCTCCGGTCTTCCTGGCTCTCAGCCCTGTATCTTTCCACATGGCCCAGCAAACAGTGTTTGGGGTTCAAGTTCAGGAAAGGTATTTTCCTAGCAGGGGAAGAGAGAAAAAAAACCTAATCAAAATACCTTCCAGGGAACATGTCAATGATTTCTGACCTCAATGTGCTCTCACTTAGGGGAAGCTTAGCTGTTGGTGGCGCGTTAAATTAAAACCAATACTGAAAAGAGGCCTCAAATTTCCATCAATTATCTATTCACCAGAGTTTTCTTGGATAATTCAGTTTTTATTTTATGTGCATTCTCCCCAACCTCAGATAGTCTTTGCAAATTACCTAACAGAAATAAAAAACAACCTCGGGCAAAAAGAAACTTTTTTGGCATTGTATGATGGAATTTTCACTACATTTTTCTCCTGCATTGTAATATGTTTTGATGGCTTTTTACAATTCATGTTTCTGGCAAGCAGGTTTTTCTAACACTCAGAAAAGAGCTAAGCTCATAATACATTACCCATGCCTGCAGCTGGAGTTACCATCCAGCTGTGCTGAGTACACAGCCTCATTCTGTTCACATGTCTATGCCTCGGTCTTTGATACCAAGATCAGAAATCTTTTCTTCCCGTTTCTAGGTTACCTAACACATGTGTTTAAGTGGGGAGGGGAAAGAGAAGAAGAGTATCGTTACACAACGTCATTTAAAGATGGCAGACCATGATAAATATGGCTCTCAATTTTCAAGTCTTCATATGACCAGGGCTAAAAATTCTGGTTATTTTCCTCCCTTGTATTTAGAAGCTCATAAACCCATTGCTGATGAAAAATAGGCCATGACCTCCATTTGGAGGTCATCTTTCCTCCCTGTACTGAACTGGAAATATAATCATAATGTAACTAAATCCCCCAACTAGGTGCACTTTGCAAATACATCAATAAATCCTGCCATCGGGAAGGAACTCAGATACAGAAAAGGCAGGCGTGAAACAGAAAGGAACTTTGGATAGGATCATAGGTTTAGAGGTGGAAGAGACCTTGGAAATCACCTAGTCCAACACCTTCATTTTAGACAGGAGGAAGCTAAGGACTACACAGGTAAAGGGACTGACCCAAGGGCCCAAAGCGAGTAAGCCATAAAGGTGAAATCCAAATTCAATGCTCTTTTCATTATACCATACAAGAAAAGGACTGGCTTTAAATCTACAAATCCCTAAGATGGGCATGGGAAAGGAGATGAAATCCACAAAGGTCAGAAAGACCTGACCCTAAGCAAAGCTAACAAGAATCCACAACAGTCTGGATGATGGGAAACCTTCCCAGAAGTCAAGCATCATAAAGTGTGACATGGAGGCATATTACTGATGAGACTAAGGGACTTCTAGCCAGATGTCACCAGGGAGCAGCAAACCTGAAAATGTAACTAATCTACAATTAATTCTAAACTCCTGCTATATAAGCATACATCTAAAAAGGAGGAATCACAGTAGGGTGGAAAGAGTACCAAATTAGGAAGGCAGAAAGGAGTCTTCCTTGACACTCATCTTCCTCATCTGTAAAACAGGGAGAACTTATCACAGACACGCTGTAAAAATAAGACAAGGAAATGTGAAGGTAATTTACATTTGTAAATGCATTTCTATAAGTAAATCATTAGGTGGTTAGTTAAGAAGGGTAATCATAAACAGAAGGGCAAAAGATATCGATGGGGAAAAGACAAAGGTTGGAAGATAGGAATTTTTCGGGGTCGTTCTAAGGATACACAGGGAGGAAAGTGACCTGGCAGGTAGGAGGATCTGATCCATTTAAATCCCTACCTCCATTTGGGGCTCAAACGCTGCTAAAACCAGGTCCTAACTCAGCCTCCCAATTTGTAGCCGTCCCCTTCTCCAAAATTACTTTGTGCATACTTTGTACCAGGTTAGCATCCAATTACGTATAAATTACACATTATTTCCCCAAGCCGACCCTCCCCCCCTAGACTGTAAGGTCCTTGACGGTAGTTTTTGTGTGTTTTTTGTCTATGTATCAAAAGTACCCAACCTGATGCCTGGAACATAGTAGGTGTTGAATCTCCTAAAGCTACCTACTACATAGTATTTATTTTATATAAGTATACTATTGACATACTTTCATGCATACATGTTGTCTCCTCCATTAGAATGTAAGTTCCTTGAGGGCAAGAACTGTTTCATGTTTCTCCTTGTATTTCCTGTGTTTAGCATGCATGTAGCACACAGTAGGTAGACAGGGTCGAGTCCCACAACCATGCCACTTAGCTGCCCCAAATCAATTTACTGATTCACAGAATTCCAGAATCTCAGGGCTGGAAAAGACTTCAGAGGCTATCTAATGCAACCTGCATCTAAACAGTAATCCCTTCTACAATGGCCCTGACAAGTTGTCTGCATCCAGCCTTTCCTTGAAGCCTGCTTCAAGCCTGTCAGGTCCCTGGGCTTTATCACCCTTGGATGAACTGACCATTGAGATTT